TATTGTTTAATATATTGTTTATATTAAAACGCGATAAAATCCTTAAAAGTAGTTTTATTCAATGTGTAGTGTTCGTGGAAATATAAGAAATCATTATGTTTATAGGAAATTAATAATTGTTGTATATTGTAAAGTCTTAGTTTGATTTATACTAACACTTTTATAAAAAATGAAGTCTATGTCCTATTCTTGTTTATTATAATAATAATGTAATATTGCCAAGTTTCATCAAAATCCGTTCAGTAATTTTTACGTGATTGAGCCACAAACATACAAACATCCAAACAAACTTTCACATCTATAATATTAGTAGGATACTAACAGTTGGTCAATAGGCCAGTAGGTGATCTATTAAGGGTCGCAGACCCATGGATACCTGCAACCAACTTCATACAAAAATGGCCACAAATCTGTCGTCATTCCCGAGTACTTAGATGAATCGCTAACAATCTGTAGTTATACTGCTCTCATTCAAAATGGAACACAACAGAGTATAATATAGTTTGTTAGAAATTATACTTTGTAAACAGCTATCTCAGTATCACAAATCAATGGCGATTTGAACCTATACTCCTAACTGTATAAAAGTTTTATAGATGTGTGAAGAAAATGTTTACGAGCATGATAGAAACCAAATGAAAAAAAAATAAGTGTAAATAAACCATTGTTGATGAAATTTGTATACTTATAAATGATGATTGATGTTATTTAAAATTTACAATACAGTCACAACATACGTTTCGTCTCCATTTTTTTATTTACTTATTAATTTATTTAATACTAGCTGTGCCCGCGGCGTAGCTCGCGTATACAGGTTTTACATAAAGAATTTGTCGTTTAGGTAAGAGAATATAAAACGATTTATTTCATTACTGTATCAATAAGTGGTAACTAAATAAATCATTATCATCAAAGTTCTAAGTCGTTTATGATAGAGCTTCTGTGTAAACGACGTTAGAAGTAGGCTTAGCCGGGGTGTACACAAAAAGGTTACGGGGGCTACTAACGCGGGAAAAAGCAACATAGAGTTGGCCATGTGCAAAACAGTCAGTACTGAGGTACACTCCTACAACGCGTAAAGTTTGACCTTGCGCTTTATTTACGGTCATCGCATAACACACGCTCACTGTAACTGGGAGCTGAACGCGTTTAAAACTGAAAGGAAAGTTACTTCTTAATAGAGGGTTTTTGGTCAGTGCTGCCAGATAAAAAAACTCATTCAGCTCTAGGACAACACAAAAAGCGCTAGATTTCATGAAAACAGCGCTTTAAAAAAGCCCTAGATTTCGCGCTAAATTAACTACAAACAAAGTTTGTGTTTTTTTTTTATATAATCATAATAAAGAAAACAACATTAAGTTTTTTTTCTGGCAATATTTTTTTGATGTATCAATACTTCGCAGGACATCGACTTATATTTATGGCAATTGCTGTCAACAGTAGTTAGTACTGTACGAACAATAAAAATGTCATTAATTGTTTTAAAGTGCAATGTATTTCGCAACTTAGTTTCAGATGTCAGCATCTGATTGCGGTTGCTACACAGTTTCTTTGTGTTATAACTTCTAAGTAACTTTTAACTTAGCTGTGCTCTAAGCAACTGACTGAAACTGAATAAAGCAAAATAAATGCGTTGCCAAAACCATGAACGAAAACTTTAATAAAGGGGATTTCCTCGCTTATAGTCGTCGGTAAAAAAAAATCAAGTTGATCATCCTAAAGGGGAAGCCAGGAGATCCATAGCACAAGGTATCCTAGTTTGGACTCGTCTCCCACGCTCTTTGTTTTGTGGAAAAAATATGTTTGAAAAAGATAAACTGCAATGTACTATTTGTAGGAAAGATAATAAAGGTCATTATTATTATTATCGGTAATGTGGACTAACAGAGCTGCTATAAAAGAGTTAGATAGACCGCTAGTCGCTACAATTTTGAAATGTGTGCTAAATACACCAAAAAGCGCTGGATTAAGCGCTAGGTGCTAAAATTTCGAAATGCGCGCTATACATCCAAAAAAGCGCTAAATCTAGTTCCCAAAGCGCTAAAATAACAGTACTGGTTTTGCGTATATTATAAATACAATATCACGACATTTCGTTGCAAAATTTTTATTTTTGGTCGGGTTCCGTTGTATGGCTTCGATGGATACAAATTTCTTCAGTAAGTCTCAATACGATTCATCGGCGAAAAATCTCAACACAGCAATTCAGAAAAGTTTGTAATTTGTACAACTCCATCCATTACGTCCTTTGTGTGAGAAAACATCATTTTTAAATCTCTTTTTGTGTTTTAAGTATAAATATATTAATTATTATGGAACGTTTTTTTTAACACAAATCTTTTTATTACTATTTCTGAGATTTTATGGCGCCATTGAACAAATCCGAACCCACATTTCAAAATAATAATCATTACTTTCGATAGAATTAACCAATTTTAATAAAACAAAGATTAAATGTAACTCGAAGATACGCTTTATGATTTTCTTAACGATTTCTTTGAAAATAAAAGATGTTTACTTTAGACGTGATGCGTTCATATAATAACAGACAAATAGACAGACAGACAATTCTAAAACTTATAAAATGTTTTTATTTAATTATTTTCAGTTCCCCATAATGATTTTAGCCACCAAAATATATATACAATGTACAGAAAGAGACACAACATGTTATCATCATTTTTATTATATGTATATATTTAAAGAGAGATGGCGCTGCTAACATCAATTCTAAAAATAAAAGAGATTAATTGACGCGATTGATACATTATATAAAACGTAAGAGAACTTATAAATCAGTGCCTGCACAGTAAGCAAAAAATAAAGTTTGACTCTCGCCAAAACCAACGCAATTGTTAATAGCTCTTTTAAAATTTGATTTACCACATAGAGTACTCGGCGGTAAAGAATAAATTGAGTTTGTCAACACGCAGTAGGGCAGCGAGTAATATAATAAAGATTAGCAGTAAATATGAAAACTCATCTACAGGAAGAAACCACATTGCAATTGCATTACATTTTCACAACACCACCATCTATCGAAGAAATGGGTTAACTATTGTGCTTCAGATTTAAAGGTTAATATATTTTTGTATAATATATTTAATACGTTCTTTAATACTTTTGTTTACTGCGTTTTAGATATACATAATTATATCATTATTTTACATAATTTATCTATGATTTATGATATGATATTAGTTTAAAATGCACTTCATGACTCAAACAAAGCCACCGTTGAGCAAATTCGTACCTATACTTCCCTACCCATACTTCAGAATATTTATCATAACTTTTGATGGAATGAACTGATTTTAATGAAATAAAGACTAAATGTAACCCGAAGATACACTTTATAATTTCCTTAACAATTCTCATGATATAAATTAGTACTTTATACGTGATACGTTAACAAACAAACAGACAGACAGACAGACAGACAGACAGACAGAAAATTCTAAAAATGGTAGAAATGTATTTAATTACTTATTTTTAGTACCCCTCAATCACTTTTATTACAAAAATATAAAATGTACAGACATCTGCTATTTACAGTTTTATTATATGTATAGATTTTCGAGCTGTACTGTACACGTCTTTCGTGGTTAGCCGAGTGTCCCGCGTAATCCGGCTCTTCCGTCGTAAAGGGAGTCTGATGACGATACTACAGGATCTCGAACCTCGATTTTAGACACTTTATACTAATATTACAATACAACTGACAATTAAAAAAAAACTAATCGAAGTTTAGATGATGAAATTACAGTATTACGGCACCACATACATACGAAAGGTAAACGCAATTAGTATTTCATATTTAGTAAAATTATTTTAATTTTAGATTTGCGATCGAGAATCCCTAGTAAATCCTTGTGGGGGGGCTGATTGATAAAAATTATTCCCAGAACACTGAATCAAAGGGTTTATGTCTTGCTGCCGCCGCCTGGGTGACAAACAGAGCAACATTTTATGTATATCCAGCATCCCTTCGATTCTTCTGGGTGCAATGTCTCAAGTTTAGCAATATAATGAGATAAGACAGGCGATATGTTTATAGATTTCCTTGTATAATGCTAACCCACATACGAACTGATTTAAGATGAATTAAATTATTTTTTGGAGTACTGACTACTAGCACCCGTGGTCTCCTTTATAGCTAGCTCTCCTATAGCTAGCTCTCCTACAGCTAGCTCTCCTATAGCTAGCTCTCCTATAGCTAGCTCTCCTATAGCTAGCTCTCCTATAGCTAGTTATCCTATAGCTAGATCTCCTATAGCTAGTTATCCTATAGCTAGCTATCCTATAACTAGCTCTCCTAGAGCTAGCTTTTCTATAGCTAGCTCTCCTATAGCTAGCTCTCCTATAGCTAGCTCTCCTATAGCTAGCTCTTCTATATTTACTGCTTCTATAGATAGCTTTCCTATAGCTAGCTCTTCTATAGCTAGCTCTTCTATAGCTATCTCTCCTATAGCTAGCTCTAATACAGCTAGCTCTCCTATAGCTAGCTAACTATATCTGCAAAGTATTCAAAACGTCGGGAATATAAAAATGAGTTAATTAAAAATAAGCAACATTTAATACAATATTATATGCTAAGCTTACTTTATCGTTCTAATCTATACAGGCATATGAATAAAATTGTAGTGTATGTCTAGGTCTATGGTCATTTTCATGCCTTTAAGACGTAAAGAATCGGTTTAAATTTTTTTGTGTGTGTCGGTCTGTCTGACCGGGCTAATCTTTGGAATAGCTAAATGGATTGTGATGAATCTTTACAAACATATAGAGAGCAATAGAGAGGGTGAGTGTAGAGAATCGGAGATCCTTTTTACTGAAAACGAAGCATTCAATCTTAGTCCTCAGGGGTGGCAACGCATCTGCATTTTGATTCTTAATCGAGGATGGGTGATGTCTATGTACCCCAGTATCCATTTACCATGAGGTGGACTATGTCCACCTCATGATTTGTAACAACTAGTCGATAATAATATGAACCTTACCGAATCTCGTAAATTTGAGTCGCCAAAGTCTGTAACAATAAAATGCATTTGTACCATGTGTAGAAGTAATTATTAATCTTCTTTTACATCGCCATGTCATTGAAGCTCAACGTTGGATATGTGTCACTCTCATGGGATGATATATTGCGCTGGGCAGAATAGATTTGCTATCGAAATACCAGTTATCTTGTACTTCTCGTAACCGGTCTTGATTCTTTACATATAGGATAATTAACAAGATAATACACCGTTATCTGTAGGATTCCATTTTTTTAGCTTAAAGCTGTTGTGTTTCGTATGGTGAGTGTAGAGAACCGGAGACCCTTTTTACTGGAAAAGCGGCATTCCATCTTAGTCCTCACGGGTGGTGACAACGCATCTGTATTTTGATTCGTAATCGAGGATAGATGCAGATGTCTATAGGCCACAGCAACCACTTACCTTCAGGTGGACTGTGTGCTCGTTTGTCACCATTATTCGCTACACAACTCTTGAGTGCAAATGTGGTTGTCGAATCAAAATTTGTTGACAAAAATAATTTGGTCAAACAATGGCCAATATTTTGAGAAACCTACCTGCTCCTACCGATAACCCTGGTAGACTTCTCCAAGGATTGGTGACCGTGTCGTCCCAGAGTTTTCTGAAAAATAATATTAATATTCTAGAATACGCTACAACCAAAAATAATTATAATTGTTTATCCCCATCTTTTCTGTTGTAGTTTTGCGAACTTACAATCTGACGTGGATACCCATGGACACAAGTTACCACAAGTGAAACGGGAAAGCGTGGTACTTCCCGATAGAGCTGTACCATTCGTGCTGCACCGTGGTTCTATGTTGCAAAATCTCACCACGCTGAGTATGCAAAACAGATATTCTAATACAGGGAATGTCGTACACATCATTGAAATTTGAACTCAGCGGTTTCAAATTGATTTTCATCATTAATCGGTCAATGTTACTATATTCTTTGTGATGGCTATGTACGTCCCACTGTTCAGCACAGGCCACCTTTCATATCTGACGGGCTAAGGAATAATTAGTTTGACGTCAATTAGTCAGACGTGCAGGTTTCTCACAATGTGTTACTTCGCCAAAGAGTACGTGGTAAATCAACACTTAAAATTGCAGTTAACAATTTTGGTGTCGGTGGGCATCAAACTACCACTGACCTACCATATATCGTATATGATATGACATATAAGTGTTATATGTCATATCATATACGAGCGGGTACCCGGCGCGTTACAGAAGAAATAACTGTGAAAATATTGTTTCAAATTTGGAATCGTATTGTTTAATTAGGAATGATAATAAATTCATTGGAGTTGAACTTTCAAATAAATTTGTTGTTGCGATACGCGCCCCACCTACTGTAAGTTAATTGTACTATGCATATAACCTTCGCGCAAGTGCAAGCAATAAGTTGACAAAGTTTTATTTTAAATACGAACAAACTAAAATTAATTTTATATATTAGATTACTTAACTGCACGTTCAAAGCGTTCTATCAAAGCAATTGTGACTGATCGCCAACCAGCATTCCAAGAGTGCGTAACAAATGCATGCGACAATTTGCATTCGCAGAATAAAAATGTCACATGCGACAAAATTATTTTAATAGAATATTTCCTGAAAATATTTCGTGACAGCACATAATCAGTTATTAGTGATTGTGTATATCCAATTTTTAACCCAATCAAATCTGCCCCTTTTTAGAACAGACCTGAAATAGTTGTAACACTAATGGGTCGGCTCGACCGAGGAAGGACCACGCTCTCACAGAATACCAGCGTAAAATAGCAGCTTAATGCTGCTGTGTTTCGTTTGGCGAGTGACTCTACACAACTCTGAACCGGAGACCCTTTTTACTGGAAAAGAGGCATTCTATCTTAGCCCTCAAGCCCTCACGACTGACAACGCATCTGCATTTTGATTCGCAAACGAGGAGAGATGTAGATGTCTGTCTATGGGCCACAGCAACAACAACACTGTGTGCTCGTTTGTCACTATATTCCTATAAAAAAAGTCTTTATTGTCTTTATTGTAAGATTAACATGTATTATGTATTAGACTAAAATTATGTATATATATATATTCCCTTGAAAATAAAATAAATAAAATATTTTTTATTATAGTTTATGTTTTATAGTCCAACTATAGTAGAATAACAGCGGCAACCACTTATTAACCAAGTGGGGGGGGGGGGGGGGGTGAGCTCGTTTGCCTCTAATAAAAAACAAGTCCAAGTACTTTCATGAAACCTTGGTCGCAGACCTGCAGAGCCATGACTTAGAATCCAGCATAAAATTAAGTGTACATACAACAATAATTCTTCCTCCTCTGGATGTTTCTGTCGTTTCATTTGCAATTTATGTAAGTAAATCGCCTACACAAAAATTCTGCTGTGATGGTAGCTTTTCTTTTAGAATAGTTATATATATATATATATATATATATATATATAGAATAGAACCCGTTCGGTGTAACTCAACCCGTTAAAGTTAGCGCCTTCGCTTCGAAACTGTCTCCTCGCTTTCATTAAGTCGCTCTTCTTCGCAGTCTCGCTACTCTGGCTTTGTGTCTCCTCCGCAATACATCCTGGTGTCGTTGCGTTTCTGAACACCACGAAGAATGCCGCCACTATGGACAACGTGAACACCAGCACGAGGCACGCAATACACACGTATTCTGAGCTGATAATTTTTTTTAATCTGAAATATCAACTTTTGATTTATTGTCAGATTAAAATAACACAATATTATCTATAGCTCCAAATTGTTCGTTTAAATACACACAATACATTCAATCAATTAAATAGTTACCACGCTGGGCAGGCGGATTTGCCACCCGCAGTTCTTTCATCTTTATATATAAAATTACGTGTCACTTTGTTTGTCCGCGATGAACTCCGTGTATATATATATATATATATATATATATATATATATACGGCTCCGTGGCGCAGTGGTTTAGCAATCAGTTGTTGCGCTGGGGGCTGCGGGTTCGAATCCCGCACGGAACAAGTATTTGTATGGCCTACAAGTAATTATTCCGGGTCTGGATGTTTGTCCTTGTGCAATTTATGTTTGTAAACTGCCTCCACGACACAGGAGAAAATCCTAGTGTGGGGGTAACGTTTTTAAAAAAAAGAAGAAGTTATATATATATATATATATATATATAATAAAAATTACGTGTCAAGTTGTTTGTCCGCGATGAACTCTTAAACTACTGAACTGATTTCAATGAAATTTGCACACTCTGTGCAGTTTGGGCCAACTTGAGAGATATGATAGTTTTTATCCTGATAAGTGACACTCAATATTTTTTAATAAAAATAGTTACAACGAAATCGTTTCTATAGATATTAATTTGATTTACATTTGATCGACGTTAAAATCGATACTATGTGTAAAATCGATACGATGATATTTTCACATCATTCAAGGGACACAGTCAATTAACTCAAATGTCATGATTATTTCGTGACGTCACAATGATGGTACAATTCGTTTTTAAGAATTTGATTTTTGATTCAAATACACATAAAGATTTATGACCAAACGTGGACACTTTATGGGATAGTGATGATTGAAATATAAATGCTTAAGGATAATAAACTTACGCGCATGATACACATGAATAAGTATCATCCGACTTCTTCTTCTTTTGTGGCTCTTTCTGCGAGTGAATTAAAAAATCACAATAAATTACATTGTACAACACAAAGTATCTATCACCTTTAATTTTTTTTGTTTCATTATATTTTCAGCCTACATTCGAAATTCCAATATTTATAAAAATAATATTGACTTTCTGTCTACCAAGAGAGTCTTCCTGTACGACCGTTTAACAAAAACAACTAATGTTATAAAATCTGATTATAAAAAAAAATCATAGATAAGTGTCCCAGAAATTTATTTAGACTTGGTTTTAGCGTTTATTTTTTATTTTTAATAACGTGGTGGATTCAAAAAAAGATAACGAAATTTCAATATATTACGTGAAAATATTAAACTAGTCAGCTGAAATAGCAATGAGCCGGCCATATAGCTCGAGGACCCGACATCCAATGGAGAAGAAAGGTTCTCGAGTGGCAGACAACCTGGTAAGACATGCAAGAAGTCGATGGATGCAGTCGGCTACGGACCGTGCTTTGTGGCATTCCTTGCGGCAGACCTATGTTCAGCAGTGCACTTGTGATAATGATGGCGACGTGAAAATATTAAAAGATTTAATTTTATTTTATACTACATTGGGCTGGTTTAGGTACAAGTAAGGGTTTATAAACATTTCTTTGCATTTAATTATTTACCGTTGGATAGTAGGCGTTTTGAATATTTATCGTTTTGATTATTTTATTAGTAAATTTAAGAAAATAAATATAATAATAAGTCTTGCTGCAGTTATATTATGGTTGTAGCATGAATGGGTCGGCACCACCGGGGAAAAACCACGCTCTCACAAAGTACCAGCGCAAAATAGAAGCTTAATAATGCTGTGTTTCGTATGGTGAGTGCAGAGAATCGGAGTCCTTCTTTACTGAAAACGAGGCATTCCATCTGGATCCTCAGGAGCGACAGCGCATCTGCATTTTGATTCTTAATCGATGACAAATGTAGGTGTCTATGGGCCTCAGTATTCACTTACTATATGGACTGTGTGCTCGTTTGTCACCCATATTCTATAAAAATAAAAGAATAAATTACCTACTTATAACAAGAGTATGAAAAGTTAAAAAATTGTTTAAAAACCTACCCAAAACCACCAGCTATCTTTCTTCTCGCTATGATATGGCTGAAAAAAATAGAAATAAATTAGTTATAACAATTACGGTGTGGTGAAGGTGTAGGGGAATCTATCACGCATTTCGTCATAAAGACCCTTCTGCTCTCTCAATAGCTGGCGTTATCATCGTTTTCTTTTATAGAATAAGGATAAAAAAGCGAGCATACAGTCCACCTGATGGGAAGTGGATGCTGTGGCTCATAGGTCTATCTTCAATTAGGAATCCAAATGCAGATGCATATATAGTCACATAGTAAGATAAAATGCCTCATTTCCAGTAACAAGGGTCTCCGGTTGTCTGCACTCACCATAAGAAACACAGCAGCATTAAGCTGCTATTTTACGCTGGTATTTTGTGAGAGCGTGGTATTTCTATGGACGAATCGACCCATTCGTGCTACAACCATAATATAGCTACAGGGTGGCTCTGCCGCGGATAAAAGTTACGGCAGACGTCAAATATTCAGACCGGCGAAAGATAGCAGTGTCAAGAATTCGAAACGACAAAATTTCGAGACGGGACAATTAAGGCAAATTTTGTCCACAACGGGAGAGTTTTGTTTTGCATGTTCAGCTTTGGACTTATACAGGCCAATAAAGAAAAAAAAGCTTGGCGTGCTCAGCAGAGCGGGACAGTATTTCATGCCGGCACACCGCCTGCAACTTTACAAGGCGCAGGTTCGGCCTCACATGGAATACTGCTCCCATCTCTGGGCAGAGGCTCCCCAGTGCCAGCTCCTTCCACTTGACCGCATCCAGCGCAGAGCGGCTCGAATCGTCGACGACCGAGTCCTTTCCGATCGGTTCGATTCATTGGCACTGCGAAGAGATGTTGCATCCCTTTGCGTTTTCTTTCGCATTTACCACGGGGAGTGCTCTGAGGAATTGTGCGGATTAATCCCAGCCCCCAAATTTCACGAACGTACATCGCGGCAGAACTCCCGATACCATCCACATCATCTGGATGATTGGCGGTCCACCACTGTGCGATTTAGAAGATGTTTTTTCCTCACACAACTTCCTTGTGGAATCGATTACCATCAGCGATTTTTACGGACCGATACGACTTAGGAACCTTCAAGAAAAGAGCCTACTCCTTTTTAAAAGGCTGGCAATGCATCTGCAATTCCCCTGGTGTTGCAGTTGTTCATGGGCGGCGGTAGTCACTAACCATCAGGTGAGCCCCATGCTCGTTTGCCCCCTCTCCTATAAAAAAAGAAGACAGAAAATAGAAGAAGAGTATCTGTAAAACCCCATTATTTCATCGCATGGTGTTGTATGGGGTGTATACTGTATACAGCAGAAGTTAAATATCCACCGTGGACGGGAAGCAGCGGCAAAGATGTGAGCCAATTGGTAGTCGATTGCAAATCCTAACACGCGTGGCGTTCAACATTTTTTTTAAAATGAAGGTGTTCATGTTCCATGCCCAACAGTAGATTAATATAGAGTGATAAAGAAAATAAATATGTTATGATATATAATTATTGTCAATATGTATATTCTCATCAATATTCGCAGTATAGAAAACTAGGTCAGGGGAATAGGGTCACAGACTGTTCAATACAAATACGAAATTTGTTAACATTTATTTTTATTCTTGTCAATATAAAAAAAACCTGAATAGCCAGTATGATCAAATGATTTGCGTCATGAATATAACCTTGGCTATCGTCACCTGTATCTGGGATTTGTATCATCTTGTAGAGCACATGCCTTTATCTAAATTTGAAATTTACTTACTAAATGTTATCCAATCACTACTCTTTCAGATGTGAGCACTCTATTTATTGTCTGCTACAAGTTCTTACTCTGGTGGCTCCTTTTCTGTCTATTTCTGGTATCAAGAAGCAGTGCACTCTCTTCTGCATAAGAGTCAGTATAATTATAGGATGTGAAGCATTCCATCTTAGTCCTTACAGGTGACAATACATCTATACCCTTCTTTATTTGATTTTCACTGCAGGTATAGACATCAGCAGCCAATTGCCATCAAGTGAATTGTAAGTTCGTTTGTCATTTTAGTTTTATAAAAATATATTTTTTTATAGGAGAGGGGGCAAACGAGCATGCGGCTCACCTGATGGTGACTACCGCCGCCCATGAACAACTGCAACACCAGGGGAACCAGGGGAACCGCAGATGCGTTGCCGGCCTTTTAAAAAGAAGTAGGCTCTTTTCTTGAAGATCCCTAAAGTTTGATAGTGTTGATGTTTCTTTCAGTCACCAAGTAGCAGTGGAAAGAGGATATCTGATATCTACCCAACAGAAAAAGAGTTCTACTATACGTAAGGATACAAACTTTCACACACTAAACAATTGTAGGTAGTTTTGGTAGTTTATAATTGGATAAGAAATGCCTATCAAAAGTCCACTGATAAACATAGATTGTCTCATAGTGGGGGATTCATAAATAATAACTACGGAAAATCTACTTCTTCCTAAAAGAACTGTTTGATTGCTTATGATGTAACATCTTTATTTTCCTCCAAATTTTTCTTTTTTAATAACATACTACTCTGTCAAGAAAGTACCGGGAAAAGATCAATAATACATAAAATGTTAGTTATTCATCCAATTTAATTTTTTCACCTTCAACGTATGCTCTAAGCGAGCGACACGATACACTTTCTACAAAGAATAGTCCAATCATTAAAGCATTTTTAAACGCTTTTTCCGGAATTGAGTTCAGTTCAGCCTGCGAATTCTCCTTTATGTCTTCTACCAAATAAAAACGAGTGCCTCGAAGTGGTAATTTGAGTTTAGGAAAAAAAAAGAAGTCGGCTGCAGCCATATCTGGTGAATAAGGTGAAAAATTCGTTCACGATAACGTTCTTGTGCGAAGACGTATTATCTTGGTGCAAAATCCAACTTTTCTAAAAACAACACTGTATTTAATCTAAATAACAGATGTAACTCAAACTCCGCGCCAAAATGGAAAACAGTTGTGCCAATCTAACAACAATGAAATGAACAAAATATTCAATTTGAAACCATAAACAAATCATCCATTCCCGATACTTTTTTGACTGAATGTACATACATAAATTGTGCTTACTGTGCGCTGCGTCTCTTGGTATTGATCCTTATATAATTGTTGCTGAAGCTCTTGCACCGCCATCTTGGTTTCTTGGCTACGCTTGTACCTGTCGGTGCTGCTTGATTCACAGGATCTCTTAAACATGAGGCGTACCAAAATTAAGAAGTCAGAAGTCGTGTTTTTCATAGAATCAAAGGTGAGTAGTAACCTCAACTGATAGTGCATGTGAGCCATAATCTTCGATTAGGAAACACAGTGCAGAATGCGTTGTCAGCCATGAGGAATGAAATGAAATGTCTAGTTACCAGGAAAAACATTTACGTGGTAGAGCCATGCTGCAGCTAAATAGAATAGTTGTAGCACGAATGGGTCAGCTCGACCGGGTAAGAACCACGCTCTCACAGAATACTTGCGTAAAATAGCAGCTTAATGCTGCTGTGTTTCGTATGGTGAGTGTAGAAAACCGGAGAGTCATTTTACTGTAAAAGAGGCATTCTATCTTAGTCCTCACGGCTGACAACGCATCTGCATTTTAATTCGCAAACGAAGATAGATGTAGATGTCTATGGGCCACAGCAACCACTTACCATCTGTTGGACTGTGTGCTCGTTTATCACCTTTATTCTATAAAAAAAAGGGTCTTCTGCTCTCAACATAACAATATTACAAAGGTATGCTATGCGTGGTTGACGTCCAATGCTTGTGGGCCCCTAACACGTTAACTTATTTTTTTTAAAGTTAAAAAACGAGGCGAAAGACATCAGTTCACCTGATAATATCTGGCTACAGCAGTCCATGGGCACCCGAACCAACTTCAGTCAAAGAACGTTACAGGTATTTTGTCACATATGAGTACTAAGGTTTTCATCACCATCTGCATCCATCGACTTCCTGCATGTCTTACCAGGTCGGCACTCCATCTAGTGAGGGGTCACCCTACACTTCACCTACCGATACGTGGCCGCCACTCGAGAACCTTTTTTCCCCATCAGTTGTCGGTTCTTCGAGCTATGGCCGGCCCAGTGACACACTTCAGCTTACTAATCCGTTGGGCTATGTCGGTTACCCTGGTTCTACCGCGGATATCCTTATTTCTAAGTTTAACATGCAGAGAAAACCCCGAGCATAGCGCTCTCCATAGTTCCCTGAGCGATCTTGAGCTTCCTCGTATGGCCAGCAGTGAAGACCAGCAAACCGTTTGGTTATAATGCGTGGAATATCGACAACAACAAGGGGGGGAGGAGTGAAGACCCACCATTCGCTTCGTTGTCCGATGGTGGAAAGTAGAGGGAGGGATTAAAGCGTGTAATTCCTGCGCACACTCACCGAAATACATCCTATAGAATAGAGAGACTGGCTAATTTGCGCCTGTGTTCGAGGCTGGTAAGATTGGTTTTAACCAAATTCGAGTCACCAATAAGCCTCTTAGCACGCCTTTTCATTGAGTCCAAAGCTGTAAGTGGTATTTTGCAACACCAGCCTATATATGGCAGCAATACTCCATGCAGGACCAGACTTCCGCTTTGTATAAAGTAAGCAGCTGTCGCGGCGTGAAGTCTCGCCGCACCTTTGTAAAGACTCCTAGTTTCCTTGCAGCTGCTTTTGCCTTGGACTCAATGAACCGCCGTAGCTATAATGCCGTCTTTCGAAAGACCTTTTTGTCATTTTTCTTTAAACTTTCTTATGAGATTCAGGAAAATATATAAAGTAATACAATCTTTACGCTGTCCATTTATCGTATACTATCTACTAAAGGTTTCATAATCTTTTATGTCTACTCTTCTGCTACAACAGGGCGATAGTTAGGGATGATGTATTCTTAAAACAGCATCACACTGCTGTTGAGCTATTACGGACGGGTTAAATATTTTTAACTTCCCGTTTTGAAAGTTACTAATTTTCAAAAGTAGGAAGTTATAAATTTCCGTCCGATTTTGAGAATGCGAGTTTTCATCAGATCTCCAAGTTTTGAGCGGTTCTGACTATTCTTATATGTGTGTGTGTGTTATTATTATTATTATCATTACATAAATTCTTTATATTTCTTCTCTTCTTTGAGAGTTTGAAACACCGTAAACACGGGTTGGAACCAAGAGTGTGAGGGGAAATTTAAATTGTAAAAGTTTATGATAAAGTAGAAGAAGTCAGAAACTTTCGGGTGATGCGACAGGTGTTGAGGATGGTGGCTTTTTGGAGCATTTGAAGTGTATGAGTAGGCATGTGTAGTGTGTTAAGGCTTTGTGTGAGTGATTTTGGTATAATACCGGTGGATGAGAGAACTACATACGGGTCCATGTGAACATGTTGTGCTTTCTATTAAGTTCTAATTTCTAAGGCAAGTTCTTGATATTTAATTAGTTATTCGGATATTGTAGCATGTGCGTGTGCGTGTGCGTGTGCGTGTGTGTGTACGTATGCGTGTGCGTGTGCGTGTGCATATGCGAGTGCGGGTGCGTGTGCGGGTGCGTGTGCGGGTGCGTGTGCGTGTTCGTGTGTGTGTCTGTGTCTGCGTGTGTGCTTGCGTGCGTGCGTGTGTGAGTGTGTGTGTGAAGAATATCCATTACCCTATATTGTCGCGTGGGTGTCGTGAAAGGAAACAAACCAGGAGATGGACAGCAGCGACTTCCTAATAACAACAAAAAACAGCCTGACCTTCCCGCCAATCTGTGGGGAGGCTTATGTTCGGCCTTTTCGGACTTTTGATAGGCTGTAACTGATGGATGAATAGACAAACTGAAAATACACTTACCCTATCACATTTCTGATGCGAGCCAGAATAGGTCTTCCTCTTTCTTTTATCTTGTTTCTCTTTCTTTATTAAATTTGCCTTTTCAGTGTCGCTGCAAAGTGGTATTTTACAGTTTATTGTTCTTTCCTTCCTTATCAAGCCTATAAAAGTTCACAATACACGGGCTTCTGTCGTTGTATGGAGGATTTGCTTTAAACGTCACGCAAACGTCAAAAGACTAGACATCAATCATCAGCATTTTGTACGTGGTAGACCCATGCTGCAGCTATATAAGTAGTATAGTTGTAGCACGAATGGGTCGGCTCGACCGGGGAAGGACCACGCTCTCGCAGAATACCAGCGTAAAATAGCAGCTCAACGCCGCTGTGTTTCGTATGGTGAGTGTAGAGAACCGGAGACCCTTTTTACTGGAAATGAGATATTCCAACTGGGTCCTCACGGGTGACAACGCATTGCAGATTTTGATTTGTAATAGAGGATAGATGTAGATGTCTATGGGCCGCAGCAACCACTTACCATCAGGTGGACTGTGTGCTCGTTTGTCACCCTTATCCTATAAAAAATCTCGCACCTTTGACTCTGCAGCCGTGCTTTGTGACATTTATTGGGGAAGGCTTATGTTTATCAGCGGACTTGTGAAGTGATGTAATGGTGATGATGAATGCCGCTATTTTTCCTTTATTCAGAAAAGATAACTGGAAAATATTTACAGCTAACGAGGGCTAAGATGGAATACTTAGCCCTTGAGCAAGATAACGCATTTGCATTATGATATTTGATCGAGGATAAATGTAGGTGCCTAAGGCCAGAGTATTCACTTACCATCGGGTGAGCTGTTGCTCGTATGGCACCCATACGCATAGATATATAAAAAAAATCCAATCCTTAATGGCCTAGAAATAAGTGCGAAATTTCTTACTTATTCTCTCTTTGCATGATGTCTTTGAAAACTTTTAGTATAGGCGATTGTGTTTCCTTGTCCGATTGTTTGCTGTGACTGAAACAAAATATCAAGAATTTCTTTCTTAGTAGGTAGATACTTTATTTAACTCACAATATTTGAATGTCAAACGTACTAACGATCAGTCTGATGGTATAGTATTTCTATATATAAAAATCAATTGCAGTCCTTTAGTCTCGCTAAAACTACAGGTTTGTGTACCACTCCTGTTGAATCTGTTTCTAATTGTAAGGGTTTCTGGTTCTTAACACTCACAACAGCAGCATTAAGCTGCTTTTTTCGCTGGTATTCTGTGAGAGCGTGGTCCTTTCCCGATCGAGCCGCCCCATTCGTGCCACAACCATAATATAGGCTGCAGCGTGGCATTACCACGTATAAAAATTTCTTGATTGTACTCAAGCAAACAGAATCCAATTCCCACCGACACCAATTAAATTGTTAATTGAGTTTCGTTTGGTGAGTGTAGAGAAACGGAGACATTTTTTAATGGAAAAGAGGCATTCCATCTTAGTCCTCACGGGTGACAACGCATCTGCGATTGATTCTTTATTGAGGATAGATGTAGATGTCTATGGGCCGCAGCAACCACTTACCATCAGGTGGACTGTGTGCTCGTTTGTCACCGTATCCTATAAAAAAAATATATTCAAAATGCTGATTTCTCATTCGTACTCCAAAAACCCTCTCAATCTTTTCTCAATAAAGTTGACACGTTCCCTTTAGCTTCTTGTATGAAATATTTTGCAACAAATTTTATAAAATTACGAAGGTATTTTTTGTACAACAAAAATACCGGTATTTAATAAGAAGCAAGCTTTGGAGTATTTAGCGTTTCATAACGAACTAAAGAAGTATATTAAATATTATCTGAGCGCTAAAATGGTGATATTAAACTGTTAAGAAGTTAATATTTCTTCTGCTGTGGTAAAATATACAATTTTTCCAGAAAATTCTAAGAATTAATTAAGTTTAGAAAAAGTTTATTTTTACATTTTTAACAATATTATTATTAAATGGTAAATTAATAATCATTTATTTCGGACCATGATCTATATCGGTTAGTAAGTAATTTATAAACTAAGTAATTTATGAACTAAACTATTTTAGTAACAACATTAACTAATTATAACTAAATTAATTCACTTCGCAATTCGCCTACTTCCCACTGCACCAGACCATAATGCAAAAATTTTATTAATATTTCATTTTATACATACATCAATCCTATTAATTATTCTTTTTTATTTGGCAGGTAGGTTGGCAACCCAAGGTTTTTATTTTCTAGTTGTTACTTGTTTTTGTTTCGATTAGGCAGACGTCGGTCTCCTGATTTGTTTACCTCTGTCGCCTCTAACTTCACCCATGGGGCGATATGGGATAGTGAATATTTTTACACCACCACTGCACGGTTTTAGATTTTTTATAAATACATTGCAATGTTAATAATTTCAAAACATCGTGAAATAATACGCATGTCTGAGAAAACATTTATAAAATCAATTGCTTTCCGTCGCAAACTCGAAAAAGGCCCGACCGATTTTGACGAATTTTTTTGGCTTTCTTTGAGTGGGTGAATGAATGGTTAAAAACTCTATTAGACCCGATAGGTGGCGCTGTTGTCAAGATACAGAAATCACTCGTGCGAATCCAAGCTTTTGCCAGCGTTATAACGCACGTGTCAAACTGGAAGCCTTTGTTTGCACCAAAAGTTGTAGCGCGCTTAACTGCAGTTTCGGATTGCTTTCACATACGCGGTTCAAAATCACCTTTAAAGGGCGCTAAATGGTTACCCTATGGATAAAATGGATGTTAGGTTCCTTTACACTACTACTATACTTCTGAATAGTACGAAATATATTGTTAAAAATTTCGTTTTAAATTGTATAAAAAGTTCTTACCTTTTTTGACTTATTCCCATATTCTTATGTCAGCTGATGGTGACATTGCGATATATTTTAGTTTTATTTTTCATTGTCTGATGTATGTTATGTAAGAAGTTTCTAAAGAAGAGTATCTATATGCAAATTTTCAAAATGGGTTCAATATGGGGACCAATAATCCGTTCTTTAGAGGAAATAGCCGGAATTTTTTCTAAGGCTAACGGAGGAGGAGGAACTGTTTAAGTTAAATATTCGATGCAAATTTTAGCAATTTTTAATACAATATCTAACGGCACCTAGGTACTGATCTTTTTTTTATATGATATCTAAAGGTAACAAGCGAGTACACAGTCCACCTGATTGTAAGTGGTTGCTGTGACCCATAAACATCTACATCTATCCTCGTTTGCGAATCAAAATGCAGATGCGTTGTCAGCCGTGAGAAATAAGATAGAATGCTTCGTTTTCAGTAAAAAGGCTCTCCGGTTCTCTACACTCATCAAACGAATCACAGCAGCATTAAGCTGCCATTTTACGCTGGTATCCTGTGAGAGCGTGGTCCTTCCCCAGTCGAGACGCCCCATTCGTGCTACAACTATACAATTAATATAGTTACAGCACGTCTCTACCACCTCTATAATTATTTGCATGATGTATTATATACTAACATTATAGAAACATGGAGTCCACCTGTTGACAAATGAATAGTCTATGGACCGCAGCATGATCTATCCTCGAATAAGGTTCAAAATTCAGATGCACGATAGGTGAAGCGTGATCCTTCCTAAATAGAGCACCCAATAATTAGTGCTGGAAGTATATGTGTCTATGGGCCACAGCATCCACTTATCATAAGTTAGATAGCGTTGGTTTGTCACGTTAACTTGTATAAAAAAAACAACTCATTGCCTTTTATTGCTTATAACTTATGTCTAAAATAACCAATAAAAGGTAACAAAAAAGCTACATACATACATCCAAAGTATCACTCAGCGAAATTGCGTGTATCCCGGTACCACATTATAGGGCTGGGCAGCAATAAAATGATATTTGATGCGTTACTCTTGCCCCGGCGAATAATTGCCGGGAGCGGGTGTTAGCGGCCCGATGGGAATATGGCGAGTTGTACTAATGCGGAAAAAAGCAATAGACGTTACTTAAAGTTCGGTTATACGTGCTAATTTATGATTTCACATAGTGATTCGCGTTACTGCTTCCTTGGTCATATTCTCCTAGTACATTTTAACCATGGTTTATATTTTTTTATACAATAAAGATGACGTCAATAAAGCACACAATCCACCTGAAATAAGTGCTGTGGCCACTAGATATCAATGTTTATTCCCGATTAAGAATCAAAATGCAGATGCGTCGTCACCCCTGAGGACTAAGATGAAATACCTCGTTTCTATTACACGGGTCTCCAGTTCTCTTTCTATATACTCACCATATGAAACACAACAGCATTAAGCTGCTATTTTACGCGGGTATTATGTGAGAACACGGCCCTACCCCGATCGAGGCAACCCATTCGTGCTACACCTTAATACAACTGCAGCGTGGGTCTACCACGTATCAAATAAATGTTTTCGCCTTCTTCATCATCAACCTGTAGAACTTCATTCTTGGTCATAGGTCTAGACTGTTGTAAGGGTAACTCTTTACAATCGCCACGCTCAGCAGTCGGATTGGCGATTGTGAAATCAGATATCTCATCCTTTTGACGCTGCTCTGCTAGTATTTTATGTCCGTAAACATTAAACTGTTGAGGTTCTGCGTCGAATGAATAAGAAGTTGGAGATAATGAGGACCGCGAAGAAGAGGAAGCTGCAGTATTTTGGACACATAATGAGAGGACACAAATGTCGTATTCTTCAGCTTGTGATTCAAGGAAAAATCGAAGGAAAACGCCGAACTGGCAGAGGAATTTTCGTGAATGGTTTAACCTCGGCACTCGCTCTCTCTTTCGTGTTGCAGCTTCGAAGATAAAGGTGGCCATGATGGCCGCCAATCTTCGCAGAGAAGTTGCACTCTAAGAAGAAGAAACATTAAACAGTTTTTACTGAAAATAATACGTTCCTATACTAATTTCAAAGTGTAAAACATTGTTTTTAAAGATGTTAGTATTATTTTTTTAAAAGTTGCTTGCAAAAATATCCTGTAATATTATGGTGTATAAAAATAAAGTAGTTTGAAGAAGTTTCTTTTTTCATTTCCGAAAAGTCATGCCCTGATTCTATTTATTATTTAAACATGTTTAAAAGACTCATGGACGGAGGATAACCTGGTAGAAATTCAGGAAGTCGAGGGATGAAGAGGGCTTATAATTGTGTTTTGTTGCATTTCTTGGGGGAGGGCTATGCTTAACAGTGGTCTTATAATTTTTTTTTAAAAATATAGTTAGACAAACGAGCACACAGCCCACCTGATGGTAAGTGGATGTTGCGACCCATAGACATCTACATCTATCCTCAATAAAGAATCAAACTGCAGATGCGTTGTCACCCGTGAGGACTAAGATGGAATGCCTCTTTTCCAGTAAAAAGGGTATCTGGTTCTCTTACCATACGAAACACAGCAGTATTCAACTGCTATTCATACATCATGAAAACATAATCTTATCAAGACAGCGAAGAAACTAGCGTGTACACTGAACACTATAAATACCACTAAAACCGTGGAGAATATCGAGAACATTCTCACAAAGATGCTCCGTGTTGTTGATATTCGCCGATAGATGTCGTTACTAGGATGTAGGGTAGATTCACCTGTTACGACCCCGGGAATCACCCCCGGGACATGCTGTCCTCATAAACTTGTTTACATGTGTCTACGTATTTCACTTACAACCCTTGGGTAATATAATAAACCCCTTTTTCATCGCTCCCCTCTATCAATTTTTATTTATCAATTAAGTTCTAAAGGCGTTACCGTTATTTTATTAACAAAATGTTTGTCCACGAATTTGATCAAGTAACTTAATTATTAATAACTTTTTGCTATATAGCATAAGGATGACAAACGAGCACACAGTCCACCTGATGACAAGTGGAAGCCGTGGCCCATAGACTTCCTTACCTCTGAGGATTAAGATGGAACGCCTCGTTTCTGATAAAAAAGGTCTCCGGTTCTGTACACTCACCATATGATACACAGCAATAAGCTGATATTTTACATTTGTTTTCTGCGAGTGCATGGTATTTACCCGTTCGATCCGACCAGTTCGTGCTACTACCATAATATAGCTGTAGTATGGCTCTACCACGTATCGCTCTATGTACTTTCGCCCACGTTTTGAACTAATAAATAAAAGATGGACAAAATAAAAATGTAGTGATTATATACGCTTTGGCTACTAATAGTTAAAAAAAAAAACGTAAAATAAAGTGAGAAGTTTTATCCATCGTGCTTTTACAGCTAAGTTCCTTACAATGTTCTCTTTAATCCTTCTTATTTTAAGTATCGCTTTGAATTCCTTCACTATTCCCATTCGGAAGTATTTTTTTATTTATTTATTTATTCTTTTTTACATCTACCTTATAATAAGGGATATAAAGGGCGGACTTAATGCCTTGTGGCATTCTCTATTGAGATCATCAGAAAATTTAATATTAAAAATGCCTTCAAGCCGAGACGCGCCCATTGTTTATCTAGTTTTCGGAGGCGTGTACATCATAGATTATTATATATTTCTTTGAAAATTTCCACAATCACTATCCTAATCATTGAGTTGCCATATATAAATATCATCATCATCAGCCTGCGGCAGTCCACTGCTGAACATAGGCCTCTCCCAAGGCGCGCCACCTTGCGCAGATCATCGCTCCAACTGGTCAGGGGGTGTCCCGCTGTGCCTTTTCCCAGACGCGGTCTCCACTCACAAAACACGTCTACTTCACCGCTTGTCACTTCTGCGACCGACGTGGCCAGCCCACAGCCACTTCAGTTTACAAACGCTGGTCTGTCATACCCGCTTCAGTTTACAAACGCGGGTCGCAAAATGTCTGTTCTTGGTTCTCCGGTGGATTTGTTTACATATGTTCATGTATTTATATGTTATTTATTTCTGTATATTTTATGAATAAATTTATAAATATTCTGTTTTTGCATTACCAAACCACACAACTTTCTGCATTTTGCGAACCTATCCATGCTGGTTGGTCTTTGTAAGGTTGTCTGGAATAAATCGCTTTTAAGCGATAACACCACCCATTGCGACACTTCATTTTGTTTTACCTTCTTCTTTCGTTCGTATATTGTTTTGCTGTACATGATAAAGAATGAAAAATGAAGGATTCAAATCTAACTGCAGTGCTTTGCGATAAAAAAAGGTATGAGGGTGGTATCGACCCAGACTCCATGAGAGACCATACTATACTTTACACACAGGTTACTCGCAGTTAACTATATGACGCCTAAATAGCCTCAAAAGTAGTAAAAAGAAGGAATCAAATTAATTTTCGTGTCCCGAAAAGATATTATAGGTGGCAGTAATAAACTTGGCCGGAATCGAATCTACCACCTACCCCAGTTGCGCAAGACGCGGGCCCCAGGCAGATCATGCGACGTTTGTAATATATGACTGTCTGTCACTCACGTATTAGCTCGTAGGGTTGAACTAAGGTATATTTTTATTTTATTTGCAGGTCCGTGCCGTGGTAGCTTAGAGGATAGCAATCGCGTTACAATTTTATAGTGTTGTAATCAAACAGAGTTCTATTCGAACGACACCAAAGAAATTGTTAATGGCAATTTTAAGTATTTTGATCCTACTTCAAAAAGGTGATGATACTCAATTCGATTGTAATTTTTTTTTTATGTGTGTTACTTCCTAACTTTTTTCTAGATCAACCGATTTTTATGATTCTTTTTTATTTGAAAGCTGATGCTTCACATGTAGTCCCATATAAGGTCTGACCTTATATGGGTAGGTCTAGGTTTTAATTTATATTAAATTCGGTTGTATATTGTTTTTAATTTTACCACTTGTTACCCCCCGGACACACACTCGTCGAGTGGCATGGGAAGTAGCAAGGAA